TATGTTTCCTTCTTATTATTATCAATTTTGTATTAAAGAATAATTTTACAAAGGAAAGAAACATATATGGACATATTTTGCATATAATTATATATAATTATATATGGAACTTTTTTTCCCGGGTATTCACTATAAATTTTATACTAAAGACTCACATTTATTTATTCAAGTTAATTTTTTTATAAATCTTAATATATAAAGCTAGCAGATTAATATTAAATTAAAAAAAAACATCCATTAATTCATAATTGTATGGTATAATGCATGGTCATTTATTTAAACTATTCAAAATACATGAAGTTAAACTGTATTCTAAATCATATTATTATTATTATTTAAGAGATACGGTATAGTATCTCGCAATACAAAGTATTAATATATATGATAAAGTTGTATACATATACATATATATGTATGTAATATATGTATGTATAGGAGAAGTAGTAGAGCATAAACTAGGGAATTTGTAGGAATTGGTACAGTCAACTGCGAAAGGAGAAATAACTATATTGATCGATCGTTACCAGCGTTCTCATCTAAAACATGTCTACTCTCAGGCTTCTCTGTGATGAAACTTTACTTATGCATTTCAAACGAAATAAAAATAATATTTTATATAACAATATAATAACCTTGGCGCTATATAAAAATTCAATGAATATGTTTTCAACAAAGCAAACCATTGAGTCTCGTAGTACTCGAGATTGGATCTAAGAGGATGAACCAATCATGCTCGACCACTGCTTAGCACATAACTGCTAGAATCTTCGTTGAACGTGACCAATGTTAAATCGTATGCACTTGCACGGTAAAGGTGACGGTTAACCTCAATACCTGCGAGATGCTTATATTGTAAGAATATCAATTTTATTACGAAATAGTGAACTATTACTTAAATATTCAGCGAGTGAAAATAAAGTTATAAACATGTCTTATTTAACGAGAAAGGAAATAGACGAAATGAAGCCACAGATCGAAAAAGCGGTTCATAAATTCCTTGGCTTCAGTGAACCAGCTATTGTTACTACCGCTGTCAACTGCATCACTTCTGGCTATGACAAACGTAAAACAGCAGGTTAGTAATAGAAAATATGTATCGATTTATTTTCTATCATGATTATTTTCTACAATTTTATTACTAGCGTTTAACACGTTCTGTGCCGCGTGATCCATGCTGGACTTTCCGTTCAGGTCGTTCTTTGTAAAAGTAATTTTTGTAGTTTTTAATAAACTATGTAGTACAGTTTAGTTAACAAATACAATAAATAAATAGAATATATAAACAAATATAAATATAAATAAACATAAATAAATATATAAACAAAAATATCGTGAATCGACGATAGCCCACATGGCACTTGCCATGTGGAGAAATCACCTAAAATTAACTCTGCTTGATGTTAAAGTAGATATTTATTACGCTATTTTACTTATAATTTTATAATGCGTAAAACAATTTTTGTAGACAAACTATCGGCTTTACTAGAAGACAAGAAAGCTTCTAAGTTGACAGAAAAAATATTTACGATATATGATGACACCAAAGCGTCTCAAAAGAATAAGAAGCGATCACATCCTGAAGATAAAGATAAAGACAAAGATGCAAAGAAATCGAGATTCAAAGATGATGAAACGAAAAATGAAAAATCCATAGAAACTCAACTTTCTGCAGATAAGGTATTAGAATTATATATATATATATATATATATATTATCTTAATGCTTTAAATACTCCAGTATTATAAACTTAATTCTTCTATATATTTTTAGATAAGACAAATGATGGCTAATGCACAAAGAGAAATAGAAGAAAGAAAAAGAGCTTTAAAGGCAATAAAGCAGGAAGACATTTCTGCGAAGCCCTTGCTTAAAGGACGTGATGCATTGCCAATGATGGGAAGCATGTATAATCAAGGCCTATTGAGTAAAACGGACTCAGACAAAGCGCGGAAAATAGCTGCGTTACAAGCACAGATCAGAAATAAGTTAAATTCAGGATTACTTGGCACTGTTAACGTACCCGACAAACCGACTCCCTTAATCTTGGATGAATCTGGCAGAACAGTAGATATAACAGGCAAAGAAGTGCAACTTACTCAAGTAGTACCTACATTAAAGGCTAATATACGTGCAAAGAAGCGAGAGGAATTCAAGGCTCAACTGCAAGAATCAAAAGGTCCCGAGGAAATACAAGATACTCATTTTTTCGATAACAGAATAGGTGTAAAGCCAGCCATGCGCGGTAAACGTGCGTTAAAATTCCACGAACCAGGGAAATTTCAACAATTAGCAGAGAGAATGCGCATGAAGACGCAATTAGAAAAATTGCAAAATGAAATTAGTCAAATTGCTAGAAAAACTGGGATCAGTTCAGCAACTAAATTAGCTCTTATCGCACCTAAAACTGAAGCTCTTAGCGAAGATGTGCCTAATATTGAATGGTGGGATTCTGTTATATTAACCGGTGGATATCCTAATGAAAGTGAATTGACGACAATCAAAAGTTTGAGTATTACAAATTTAGTGGAGCACCCAACACAAATGCGACCTCCAAGTACGTATATATATATATTTTTTTTGTTTTATTAATATGTCTACATAATTGAATATATTATTTATATTTTCTCTTTATTTTTTTTTTACATAGCGGACCCTTTGAAACCAATATATATGCCTGTATTTTTAACGAAGAAGGAACGTAAGAAATTAAGGAGACAAAATAGGCGAGAGACTTGGAAGGAAGAGCAAGAAAAAATTCGATTAGGTCTAGAGGCACCACCTGAGCCAAAGTTGCGAATCTCGAATCTCATGCGAGTTTTAGGGACTGAGGCAGTACAAGATCCTACTAAAATTGAAGCTCACGTCCGGCAACAGATGGCTAAGAGGTTGAAAGCTCACGAGGATGCAAATGCAGCACGGAGACTCACCGCTGATCAGCGTCGCGAGAAGAAGGCGAGAAAGCTTAAAGAGGATACTACTCTTGGCGTATACGTCGCTGTTTATAGGTAAATATACATAAGATATATGTACATATAATCTTGTTGTATAGCACATTTATGGATGTAACCTGATATCTTTACAGAATACGTGATCTTGTCAATAATGCTTCAAAGAAATTCAAAGTAGAGACTAACGCGAAACAGCTGTATCTTACTGGTTGCGTGATGCTGTTCCGGGACTGTAATGTTGTTGTAGTGGAAGGTGGAGCAAAACAACAGGCCAAGTATAAACGACTAATGATGCATCGCATCAAGTGGGAAGAAGACATAGTGAAGGATAATGACGGGAATGATGTACCAAACAGATGTGTACTTGTTTGGGAAGGGACAAGTAAACAGCGGCATTTTGGAGAGATTAAATTTAAAGTGTGCCCAATTGAAAAAATGGCTCGAGAGCATTTTAAGAAGCATCAAGTGGAACATTATTGGGATTTAGCCTACAGCGGCGCGGTTCTCGATAATACAGACGAAATACGTTCGTAAGATACAATCTTGTAAATTAACTAAACACATAATTATAGCTAATGCCACAAATGATAAATAACTCCTGTACAACTTAATAAGATTATTGAAATGAGAAATAAAAAGATGTAACCGTAACAAGAGTGGACATAAATAAAAGTGTTCATTGTTTCTCTAAAAATTTATTTATGATTAGCACAATCCTGCAGCCAAGTCTTAATATTGTAATTCAGTATTTCGTTGTTAAATATATTATTTCGGCATTTTTTTACTTGCTTTTAATCGAACGTTAAAAAATCTCTATTGAACAAAAACAGTCGTTCCGTGACATGTATCATCATGATTTATTATGAATGCTCATTCCATTGATTTGTACAAAGAAAGCGATAAATAAAGAGACGCGTGCGACTCTTCATTACCCGAACAAATTATAATAAATGGTGTCATCCCGTGGAATTTTAATCCGTGAACGACATCGCAGTCAAGCCCATCAAGTGCATCCAATTAGCATAGCGCAATGGCGCTGCGATGCCTATACTGTTATAACATTATGCAAAAGAACATGCGAGATCTACGCATACCGCTTCGCATGCACGAAGGTGCGAACGGATTATTCGACCTTGAAACGGCACCTTCAACCGCGATTCCCAATAACGTAGCCGAGGAAAGGCGAACCTTGGTCCCGTTCGTAATACTGTTCCAGCAGCCGCTGGCTTGTTGCTGCAGCGATGCACTTTTACCAGCCCGCATACGTGTTATACTTCGATGCACCGTACACCACTGATGCACGTGCGTTGCTGCGATCCTGGTTAAGCCCCACTCCGGGATAGACCGAACGGGATAGACTAGAGTTTTACTTTCGTTTGAAGCATCATTCTCAGTTCAGGTTTACCGCTGCGCGTTCTCGCGCACAACGCTCTCGCGCGTGCGGTTCTTGTGAAACCATTCGAGGCAGATGAATGCCACCGCGTATTAACTATCCTTCCCGGAGTGATCCCTACGTTACGAGGATATCGCGCGTATTATCCTCAGAAAGATGTTGATCCCTACTAAAAACGTCGTCGGCAGCATGCACGTCTTCGTATCGCGGTGAGTACTTTCATATTATATATTTCGTATTATATATATATATATACATTCTGATTAATAAATAAATTATAATAAATCTAAATAAATTTTAGATAGCTATTTGTTTAAATCTGTTTTAATTTTATCTAATACATATCACAAGTTACGATTGAATAATATAATATTGTTTAATGTTTGCAAAGAATGCAATTCTTTAAATTTAATCAAGTATATTCTTTGCGTAGGTATATCGAAATATAAATGGCGAAATTAATTAAAAATTTATAACTTAAACAAAGTGTACTTATTTGACTCAATGTATCATCTTATGTTTTATTTTTGAATTATTAAATATTAAATAATAAATGGCTGATTAATAAATATAGGTAATTTTAAAAACAAAGAAGTATATTTTATAAGTTCTATTAATTTCGATTTTTTTATAAATATACAAGCAATTGAGAATTAACATAAGAAATAATTTAAATTTATATGTAAAAATATTTGTGTAAAATTTAAAAAATTTATAAGTATTCATTCATAAATTATCGTTTGATCGGTAACTCATTGTTAAGGAAAGAGAGAAAAAGAAAGAAAGGAAGAGCGAACTTTTTTTTCTGTAACACGTAAGGTATGAGAAGTACACATGTAAACACACAAAAACAATACTTATGTAATTGAATTTTTTTCTCAGATTCCGTAATCATTACCCGTTTCAAAACCAGAGGGGTTGATTAAGTGTGGGTTGTTACATATAGGATAATTAGCTCATACGTTCTAACCCAACGATCGTAAACAGTGAAACGGCAGCGTTATGAAACTTTGTGAATGCGAACGTGTTGAAGTCTTGGCACAACGATTTGTATTCGTAGTCAATACATTTCTCTCAGCTCGTTACTTCATCAAAGGTTAACGATTATATCGTGCGGACTCATTCAGATCTGCGCAAATCGACTTCATTGCGTAGGCGACACGAAACTAATTGTTTTACAATTATTGTAATTTATTGCATACATAAAGCAGCACCTCGTACATATTGTATCAACAGAGCTTTGCATCGCTCACGTTTGTTCTGCATATATTCGATACAGAACATCTCCTAAATTACAATCTCCGATCGTTATTCGATAATGATATCATAATTATCTGGGTGAATGAGAATTATGAAAATCAATCATGATTTTCTCGTCCCGAGTAAATATGAGAACATACATATCGTAACGTCCAAAGATTATCGTGGAGTCTTTCAAACATTTACAATAGACTGGAGTATGTAAATATATTATTAACAAGCATTAAAAATAATATTTCTGAGGTAAATAAGACATGCCTAAGCCTTTGACAAATAGATCTTCAAGCTCAACGTAAAAAGAGATAATAATAACATTCCCTTTTATCTAATTGCACAGGAATTAGATAAACTTCTAAGTTCTATTAAAAATGGAGAACTGCGATGCTCTATTCAGAAGTGATGTACTTAATGATCCCTATATGGTTGATTGCTAAAGAAAGGATGCATCGCGTCAATAATGCTTTAATGCAGTGTAATTGTATGTAATCTACTCTGTCGATTCTATCGGCTCTTCAAGTCAGCGCAGATCTTCCTCGCTTTCGCAAAGTGCACGCTCGTGTTCCAACAACATCCAAGTTCCGGGTCAATAAGGGGATTAACGGTTTAAACGGTTTAAATAATTGGTCGAGAGTGATCGATCCCTGCGTGCCGAAGTGATTGTTTCCATCGATTCCACGTAAACGCTAATCATGGGAATAAAGAAGATTACGTAAAACGGTCGTAAAAAGAATCAGGAAGGATTTCTTAAATGTCAGCTTCATTCGACCTCCTTCTGAGATCTGCTCCGACCATATGCTGCACCGTGGAAAAAATGGCATCACGGCGTCCCAGTCGAGGAACTGGCCCCCCGAGATAGGTAGATGCCCGAGTTGATGAATGAATTTGTTGCGGTAAACGCGCGCGATGAACAATGCTTCTAATGTAACGGGGTGAAATGTCATCGCGTCGACAAGGTCTCCAGAGTTCATTGCGATGAATTACGCGATAAATTACGAAACATGTTTCTAATCTCTGTAATATCGCGTGTAACAGTTCCGCTGTCACATAGAGTAAATTACGCGGAATCCCGCTCGCTCTTAAATCTCGCTATACATTAGCATAGATCACGTGAGTTCACGTACGTAGGAAATAACTTTAATAAGATCTTATCGAAAATCTGTATTCTACAACAGCTAATTAAAGCACACGCAGCGATTACTAACAATAGCGAAATAACATTTTGCTAATGGGTCAAATCCGATCTATAATCTGGGTCAATAGAGATCAGTATACCGTGGCCTTCAAATTTGCATGAGTTTCGTAATAGATAATATAACAAATGCGTGCGCTCCTGTCGATACATCTCGGTTTATTTGCAATACGGATGTGCAAATGCACGATCGTCCGCAACGCTCAATCCCCATAATTGCACTTCCAATGATTGATTGTATCTCATCAATTGCTAAGTTAGATAATAATACAACCATCGAATTTGCATAACGATTATTGGGTAATAACACGATGCTGTGCCGCGCAGAACATAAGTGCGTTCACACAAGAATTCATCTCTGTTCGAAGACGTAACTGCAATGTTTGCCACGATGGCACCTCGGCGGCACTAAGTTATGCACGGATAAGTGGGTGTTTTCTATCTTTAGATTATACGATTCGCAGATTCCTCGCTCTAGTGGCACTCGTCGGAGCTACGACCTTGCCGCCCAGGATGCTGCACGATCTGGATAAGCGCACGAATCTCTCTATGGAGAGGTACGGTCAGGCGGAACGGGTGATAATGAACTCCCGGACGCACCTCAATCGAGGCTCGCCGTCCTGGTTTCTCGGCGCGTCCCACGAGATGACCGACGGCGCGCAAAATCTCTCGAGAAGGGCCCTGCGAATCGAGACAATGGCGTTGATGCTCGTGGAGGCGCTCAATATGTCGTCGAGACAGGCGTCCCTAGTACTGCCGACGGTGGCCGCCGTCCTTTGCCCGGACTCGCCTAGCTTTCTACGAATAATATCCGAATGCAAGAAGACAGACGTCCGTTATAGGACGCATACGGGTCGATGCAACAATCCGTTGCACCCGACTTGGGGCGCAGCATTGGAGGCGTACGTGAGATTCTTGCCGCCGGAGTACGAGGACGGTGTCTCCTTGCCCCGTACGAAATTGCCGAGCGCGCGAGAGGTCTCCTCGAAGGTGCACGCCGGCGGATTGGACGTTAAGCATCCTTATTTGATGGCGCTTACGGCGCTTTTCAGTCAATTTCTTGCTCACGATTTGGCGCACACGCCTAGGATGGAATTACCGGACGGCGCCAGGCTCAAGTGTTGCGACGTTGACTACGAAAATTTTCATCCGGAGTGCTTCCCGATCGGCGCGGAGCAGCCAATCGGATGTATGGAATACTCGAGATCGGCACCGCATCCAGGGAATTCGTTACAGGTAATTATGGAATAAAATCTTATATAAGACGCAAGTTTGAGAAATCTCGTAGAAGTACTCCTATGATTTCTTCATATTATTGCGCAAGGACTCCGGTCTAGCCTCCGGCAGTGCCTTTTGAGATATACACGAGGATTATATTGTCATTAGTATAAATTTAAAAGTTAATAGCACTTAACGTATAATAATAAGAATAAAAAACTAGTTACTCATGAAATCTGAAAGTAAATGATTTCTATAGTAAAAGGCAATAAATGAGAAAATAAAAATTTATTACTGCAAATTGATACTTCGAAGCATTTTAGATATTAAACGCAAAATGCATCCTTTTAAAATAGAAATTCTAAAGAAGATGTTATGTAATCTGCGTGTAATTAATCACTGTTCGATATAACATATTATAATAGAAGTTTGATTCCCCGCCAACAATCTAGAGTTTCTGATAAAGTTTCGTAGAATTTCGGCGATTAAATTGTAAGAAGATTCATATATACGTTAGATATCGTTAGATTATTTAATACAGGGTTGCAAGTTGGGTCCGCGACAACAGATCAATCAGGCGTCCTCCTACTTGGATCTGTCACCCCTCTACGGCAGTTCCGAGGAGACAGCTAGAGCCCTACGATCGGACGAAGACGGTTTGCTAAATACGCAGAGAAAGAACCTGCCGATGGCTTCGACGAAATACGAGAGTTGTAGAAGCGCAAACAAAGCGTTCCCGTGTTTCTTTAGCGGTGACTCCAGAGTAAACGAGAATCCGGGTCTTACTTTGATGCACGTGCTATTCTTGCGGGAGCACAACCGAGTGGCCGAGGAATTGAAACGTACGAATCCTCATTGGGACGACGAGAGACTGTATCAAGAAGCAAGGAGGATCGTTATCGCCGAAATGCAACATATAACGTACAACGAGTTCCTGCCTGTTGTTCTCGGGGAGCGCGCCCTCGACAAGTACGTAACGTTTTTTTCTGTATTACAACCTAATTCTCAAGAAACGGGCGCGCGATTATAACTAACTGAAAATTGATTTCGTTACAATGAAATCGATGTACATTCGTTTGAACACTTCGAACGTTTGGAAAAGCTGGGAAAGAAGATATTCTGTAACCACCGGTATACACGTATTTCACCGCGTATCTTAGAGTTGTATCAACATCCTCGATACCTGCAACGGCTTGATGCAACAATTTCATAAAGGACCTAATCGTTTCTAATCGCTAATATATTGCTATTTCATAAATTGAACGGACATTCTGATGGCTCCATTTAGCGTCTAAGCTTCTTGCACGACGGATTACAAGAACGCAATCGCGCAGCAGCTGATGTATACGATGGAAGATAATCGGACGGTGTTATACGAAAAGCGTGACTTCATTTCCAACGTGTATTAAATTACATATTACGCGCGTGTAGTAAATCATATTTTACATAATAGCATGTCGGAATCTTATAACAGGTTGTCTTTTTTATCGTTTGCAATTTCCATATATAACGCGCGCGATTCCCCATAAACTATCGATTTTTTTTTTTTTTAATATTAACTCATTGTCAGAATAGTTATACCTTTTCCAAGTTGATTTATGCAATAACCGCGCTTGTAATTCGCGATCGATTAAGCGCTTTACTGACAAGCTGCGCGTATCCCTCTTCTGAACTTTATTATATTCGTTCGGGTATTCTTTTCTTTAAAATGACGCCGAATTGTACAATGCGTTGTAGCACGAGACGTGACGCAACGAATATTACATCATCCGCCCCCGCACTTTCCAAGACGCAACTCGCATCCATACACGGTACTGCGTACGTTATCTCTTTTTGTTATGTATGCGAAGATACGGCTTGCGCTTGACACAGCGGGGCTACTTCCGCGGCTACAATATTCGCGCGGACGCGACTCTCTCGAATTCGGCGGCGTCGGCCGGGCTATTCTTCGTCGCCGCGCTGACCCCGAAAACCCTGGACTTGGTCGACTCACGATCGGCGCACAAGTCTGGCGAAAGGACCTTATTGTCGGCCTTCTATGCGCCGCAGGAGTTGTACGAGGCTGGCGCGATCGACCGACTGATCGTCGGAGCTACAGGTCAGTTGGAATTACCTGACGTACTCGGAACACTAGCGTGACTTGATATTTTTCTAAGATGCCAGAGGAGAGTTTATTGCATAAAGTATGAAAGATATAATAAGGGGAAAACGTTTATGTATTTTGAGATTGTTTCTCAAATTCATGAAGAACATTATCTTAGAAAAATTTCATAGCATGAATTTTTAGAAAGTAATTGAATCACTGCAGATTTCTAATACTACACTAAATCGCTAACTTACATAGTGGGGGTAAGACAAATTGAAGCTAGTATATAAATCTGTGAATTAAATTGATTCCACATACATATATAATCTTATTAATTTTGTTCTAAATACAGATGCAATATTTATCTATTTTTTTTATGCCAGAATATTATAAATTTGTAATGGGAAGATTCATTTATAACGTGTCTCAAACTACATCTTATTATCGTAATACTGACATGTATCATTATCCACAATATCATAGGATTTCATTTTTCGTGTTATGATCCATAAAGTAGAAATGTATATCTAGCATTCACTTTGTTCTTAAAACGTGAACTCTTTTGCTTTTACAACATCGTAAGTGTCAAGTGAATGAATGTCACTCAAATTGCGCTTCAAAGAGATTACACAATACCGGCAATCAAGTCAGTTGTGCTTCTGCCTAAGATGGAAATCGATGCAGATACCTGTCACGTTCCTCACGAAGCGTTAAAAAGATAAGGGAAGTCATCTTAAGTGAAGGGAAATGCACCCGCTTAATGCGAATACGATAGATCTTCTATCGTATTGAAATACGTTCTAGTCAAGCGGAGATACACTAATTGCATTACAGTTTATAGCGCTAAGAATACCGTTGTCTCGAGTAAATTGCTTAACTGTGATTACTATTGTCATACATCGCGTGCACGCTCGCTTCTTCGATTTTCATAAAATTAACTTGACTTTTTATTAGAATATTCCCTTCACTTTTTCTTGAAACACACAGTAATGTTTATAAAAATATCACGAAAGAGCTACGGCAAAAGGAAATATTTCGCATTACACAATTTACGTTACTTCTTTGAAACCAAATGTTACAGAATTAGGTTGCTAAAAAAATATTCTCACCACATACACATCAATAATTCAGCTTAAATCACAGAGTTACCTAAAGTTGAGACTTACATAAAGAAGAGCTATTTGAGAAAAAAACTGTGCGAAATTCAATGTAATCTTACAAAAGTTCACGAAATATGTACTTATATCTTCGTGTGAACAACAGCGCGCGAACTTTTTAATTACATAGCGGAAAAGAATGTAACATCAGTGAAAGGCACATTACAGTCACAATGATGTCTTTTTGCGAAATTTTACGAGCTCACGAGATTTCAGAAATGCAACGTAAAAAATCGATATTAAATTTTTTATATGTTTTAGAACGGAGTAACGTAAAAATCCAATTCCATGAAACGTATATTTGCTCTGTTTGTGCCAACTATTATATATATATGGAAGTAATTTGAAGTAAAAAGAAAAGAAAAAGAGTTCGGTTTGCTCTTTCAAATTTTATATTTCACGATGCTATTTGCAGAATGACCCTAAAGTTTTATAACTTAGAATTTTTTCAAAGTATGAGAACTAACATAATTTTCTGAAAAGAATTACACGAATGTAATTACGGATAACTTTTGTAAAGACGTCCATAAAGACAGGTAATTTAGGCAATGTTCGTAATTCTAAACAAATTCAAGTACTACTCCAAAGATGGTTTTAATAAAATTTTCCTCCTTGACCCTTGTTTCTTAAAATTTTTGAAGAAATCAAAATCTTTCCAATACTACTAAATTTTCTCAAATCTATTGTCACGATTTATTTATTGAAACGTTGTCCCATGAGAACTTGGTTTTAATGACGATCTAGGATGCAAGATTTAATTTCCGCGACAGCGGGACATTCTAGGAAGCCTCTGCCTCCGGGTTTAAACGAAATACTCCTGGACCGATACTTCCACGACGGGAAGACCAGAGACGTAGCCGTAGATTACGCCGCACAGATTATACAACAGGGGAGAGATCACGGCTTGCCGCCGTATGTCAAATGGCGAAGCTTCTGCGATTTGCCGGATATCACTGACTTTCAGGATCTTAGAGACACAGTGACCAAAGCTACTATCGAGAGACTTCGAGCAGTCTACAAGTAAGATGAAATATAGGGTGAGATATAATAATAAAGATCGTCATATTTGAATTCGCATTTCTTTATGTATTAAAATCTAGCATCTGTCTTTTTCTTTCTCTATCTCTTTTCATTTCTCTTTCACGCGATGTTAAATAAATCATTTTGCTACAAGATGTTATAACAATTATTTAATGTTACTTTCAATTCAAGAGATTTTTGAAATATTCTAAAAATTTTACTATCCTGATGCTGTATTTCTGTTTAATTTATAGAAATGTAGGAGACATAGATCTGGTAACTGGAGCACTTTCGGAAGCGCCGATATCTGATTCTGTTCTTGGACCAACGTTCCTCTGCTTATTAGGGCGAACGTTTCGAAATATTCGTTTAGGTAAATATGACTCTTTGTGTTCTTCATTACACATTTTGTATAAAATAAATTTAACGAAATAATCACCTTGAAATAAGACATTTAATATTTTATTAATTGTTTTTTATGTAGGTGATAAGTATTGGTACGAAAATGGAAATACCCCTGGTTCATTTACGTTAGAGCAGTTAGAGGAAATACGAAAAAGTACAATGGCGCAAATTTTATGTCGCAATGGAGATAGACTACAGTGGATGCAACCGAGAGCTTTCATTCTAAAAGACCCATTTCTGTAATTATATCAGTTTTCGAATAACATTATAAATTTCTATTAATTAAATTTATATTAAATTTTTATTAGATTTATAGACTGATAATACGGTAATATTGATTAGCAGTGTGTCAATTCAAACAACAAAATATTTAAATTTTAATTTAATGCTTTCAGAAATGACATGACAAATTGTACGATTCACATGAAAGGAGCCATGGATTTTGCAGCTTGGAAAGAAAGGACAATTTAATCTAAATTTCATATTCGATCGTCGAATTTTAATATTGCTCATATTAAATAATATTGTTCCTGATTACATTAGAAATCGTATGAAACCAGCGATACTTTAAATGTTATTTTTATATTATAATTTGAAAGTTCTGTTACTAAAAAATAGGTGATTAGAAATTTAAATTCTCAATTTAATTTAAAATTTAATTTAAAATTTTCATTGAAATTTTACTAATAAGTAAATATTGACAGAAATTAAAAAGAAAAAAATGTTATATTATTGATTTCATTAAAAGAAATTTTACTGATTGTGAGATGGTAACGTTGCGTTGAGTTTTAATGCCTCATGCAATAAAAGAACTGTTCATAATGATCTCCATCTCATGTCTAATAATGCACATTTGTTAATACACGTTTTGTTGTACTACTCGTTATAATTTTACTGCAAATATTGTTACTGTAATTTTGAGTTATCTAAACTTTAAGATTACAAATGCTTTTGGAATGTCCGAATTATGAATATATTTAACTCAAAGAAAAAGAAAAAAGTTCTAAAAAAATTTGTAATTTAAAATCGAATATATGTTATATATTAGGGCGTGCGTATAAAATATTCTACTTAAATTAGCAATAATAATGATGACGATGGAGTAATATACCGAAAAATGTATAAAATTCGCATGTAAATAATTCGATCGATCGAATCAAGCATATATTTTTTGTAATATATGATTACTTCGAATAATAAGTTTAGCCTCAGGATTTTAACTTATTTCAACTTTGATGTGTATTGCTTTAATACGCATATATGTGTTAATTATTGCTCTAAATAAAATAACTGTATAATAATATGTGTCTTATTCATAGAAAAGGGATATATTAATTTTTGGATTGAAAAAGGAAATATTAGAATTGCCATTTTTTCGAATACAGATACGAAAATAATGTAACTTTACTGTAATTTTATCCTATATATACTCGCGATTTTGTTAATCAATATATCGTCCTGTTGTTTATACTAATAAATATAAATAAAAACGTTAATAAAGAGAATTTATTCCATCCTATCCCGCATCATCGCTCGCTTTCTTATTTGTGACAATTCCATCAGCCGATAGCACATATATCATACATTGACACTCAACATACCTATCATTTTAAAATCCGGAAATTCGAAATGTACATCCATATGTATACTGATAAGAGTTCCGGCTATTTATTCCCAGTTTCCCGATTCAGCTTGCACGCAGGCGGTTGTGGGCAAAAACTGTCACGTAATAATTTGCGTCATTTCACCAAAGAGGTGATTAGCCTCGTCATTTTTAATATCTCTGATAACGCGTACGCGGTACGACGTATGACTTCCCCTCTACGCTCGGAGCACACGGTAGAATCAGCTAGAACATTCGGGATGTTTCGCTATTTAGGAGTGGTGGGATAATCGTGCACGCCCGCCATTGGCGGGTACCGTTGGAGCCGCGGTGAAACGCAAACGATTCGCGAACACACGCGTGTCCATTGTCCGGTCGTCGTAGTGGATGCGCCCATGAGATGCGCGCGATACGTACGATCACGGGCTCTTTACGGGAGTTGCATCATTACACGTGAGGCTGGGCACACCGCGTTTCCTGCCGATTTCTCGCTGCAATCCTACCGAAGAAAGGCCAAAATGTTGATCGCTTCGAGATTACTGAGCCGCAGCTGCACCGGCGTTACCTGCGATCTCGTCAGGAAACAGCAGTTCAGCACAATTTTGAAAAATGTACGTACGTTCACGCACATACCGATTATCGCGATCTCGCGGCTCTTCCTAGCTCGCGGTCGTCGCACGTTCCGCACATCGTCCTAATGAGAGACGAAACTCAATTGGCACCGTTTCCTCGCTATCCCACGCTAACGATCCTAAGTCACTTTGCGATCGTGCGTCGCGAGAAATTTCCGCCGCACGTTAATTTCGTCACAACGTCGATTTTAATGCCGGCACGTGTGCGGATACTCCACCTCGCATTTAGAGGTTATTAAATGCTTTTTAGGTCTCACCGACGACGATTTACGCAACTATCTCTGCTTTGCATGTTGTTATTGCTAAAACTATTAAAAACTGTTAAAATTAATTGGAACTGATTTTATAGGTTGGTTTTGAAAAATTCAATCAGATTTTTTTTCTGTAGTAAAATCCTTCGTTGTACTAGAAAAATATATTTCTGCGAAAAAAACATATACGTTTTGTTAACTTCTTATCTTGTTCATTTTAAATGTATAATTAAAATTATTACAACATGTATAATTAAACAACATGTATAACATGTATAATTAAAATTTATATTAATCAGTTTCATAAATTTTTTCTAAATTTCATCATATTTTTTTCCTGACCTATTCTTATAACTTCTGTAAAATTTTTAATAATATTGGCATCTTTTTACAATAGAAAACTTTCTTTGATTATTAAATATGATTCAGATATACATATTATTCTGTATTTTTAATATTTTAGGTTGCAGCTCCAACAGTCACTGTACCGCACCGATTTACCGATATGCAACAGTATCGATACAAGTAAGTAATTAATAACAATACATGTCAAATGCGTTTTCCTCTAGTTTTAGAAGTTTTTTCAATCCATTTTAATGTTTCGTAGATCCGAAGGTGTAAAGGGTGCAGTTATTGGTATAGATCTCGGAACTACTTTTTCCTGCGTAGCAGTGATGGAGGGCAAGCAAGCTAAAGTTATAGAAAATGCTGAAGGCTCTAGGACTACACCATCTTATGTTGCTTTTACAAAAGGTTAGTACTAAATTATATGTTAATAATATTTAAAACTTCTTAACATTATTGATGTTGATTATGATTACCGATTACGATTGTCCATGCAACGAATAACAGAAATATATATAAATTAATTTCTGGAATATTTTTCTTATTTAATTTTATCATTTTATAATAAATGAATCATTCTGATTTTTTTTTCAGATGATGAACGTTTAGTTGGCATGCCTGCGAAACGTCAAGCAGTCACAAACTCTGCTAATACATTTTATGCAACAAAACGATTAATTGGACGAAGATTTGAGGATCCTGAAGTGAAAAAGGATATGTAAGTATAGTACTGATATTTTTATGATTCAATTTTTGCAATTTTTGTAATTATATTTAATTAATATCTAATGTGTTCTTACAGGAAGAGTGTAACATACAAAATTGTGAAGGCGTCTAATGGAGATGCGTGGGTTCAAGGTGCTGATGGAAAAATGTATTCCCCCAGTCAAATTGGAGCATTTGTACTTATGAAAATGAAGGAAACCGCCGCGGCTTATTTAAACACTCCAGTAAAGAATGCTGTTATTACTGTACCAGCGTATTTTAACGACTCACAGCGACAAGCGACTAAGGATGCTGGTCAGATTTCTGGATTAAATGTGCTTCGTGTAATTAATGAGCCAACCGCAGCTGCGCTTGCTTATGGCATGGATAAACAGGAAGATAAAATGTAAGAAGATATATCACATTGACATACAATATAAAAAATACTCTTGTAGAAATAATGATGCCGATTTTTCGTCTCTGAAGATATATATCTTGTGTTGAAATATTTTACTGAAAAAATTATGCTACGTTTCTTATATTTTGCGAAAAAAAAGACATGATTGATATTTTGTTCTTTTTTCAGTATTGCTGTTTACGACTTGGGTGGAGGTACCTTTGATATCTCAATTTTGGAAATTCAGAAGGGTGTCTTTGAAGTGAAATCCACGAATGGAGATACATTTTTGGGAGGCGAAGATTTCGACAATGCATTGGTTAATTATCTTGTATCTGAATTCAAAAAAGAGGTATGAATTTTCTTGTAACCAAATTATTCGTTATGCTTGCTTGTCGAAATAAATTTATCTTAATAATAATTGTCTTGAACAATGCAGCAAGGCCTAGACGTGACTAAAGATGCAATGGCAATGCAAAGATTGAAAGAAGCTTCAGAAAAGGCTAAAATAGAATTGTCAAGTTCCCTGCAGACGGATATAAATCTCCCCTACCTTACGATGGATTCTAGTGGACCAAAGCATTTAAATCTTAAGTTGTCCAGAAGTAAATTCGAAAGTCTCGTAAATGATCTGATTAAGCGTACCGTTCAGCCGTGTCAGAAAGCGCTTTCTGACGCCGAAGTAACGAAGTCTGATATCGGGGAAGTTTTATTGGTCGGCGGTATGACCAGGGTACCCAAAGTACAACAGACGGTTCAAGAAATATTCGGCAGACAACCGTCGAAAGCCGTAAACCCGGATGAAGCCGTAGCTGTCGGTGCTGCGGTTCAAGGAGGTGTACTTGCAGGAGACGTGACCGATGTTTTGCTACTTGACGTTACACCTTTGTCATTAGGTAATATCAATTTACATTGGAAATTGTTCCATTATTTTATACATACGAAATACTGTGATGCTTGTGACTAATCTTCTCTCTGATGCAAATGAAGACAATGATATATACTGATCCTCTATTCATCTAACATTACAAAAATAAGGTCACTCTGATCAGTATGAAAAAACAAAATTTTTTAAATTTTTTCTAGGTATCGAAACGCTTGGTGGTGTATTCACAAGGTTAATCTCTCGTAATACAACAATACCTACGAAAAAGAGTCAGGTATTTTCTACAGCAGCGGACGGTCAGACACAGGTCGAGATTAAAGTTCATCAAGGCGAGCGAGAAATGGCTGGCGATAACAAACTCCTAGGACAGTTCAGTCTTGTTGGTATTCCACCTGCACCAAGGGGTGTACCACAAATAGAAGTAACGTTTGACATCGATGCAAACGGCATAGTCCATGTATCTGCCAGAGATAAGGGAACTGGCAAAGAGCAACAAAGTATGTAAATTTTCTTGTTTTACATATATCGTATTAAAAACTGTTGCTACAATGATGCCTATATTTTTCGTCTCTGAAACTTACTTTTGAAATCAAGTAATAAGTTGTAGAATACATTCAACTGAGTTGTTGTCATAATGATGATAAATTATATATATTTTTATGAGCAGATTTTAAATCTATGTTTCTTTTCACAGTTGTTATTCAATCTAGCGGTGGCCTTAGCAAAGACGAAATTGAAAACATGGTTAAGAATGCCGAACAATACGCGAAGGCAGATAGAATAAAGAAGGAAAGAGTTGAAGCTATTAATCAAGCGGAGGGAATTATACACGACACAGAATCGAAGCTAGAAGAATTCAAAGCGCAGTTACCACAGGAAGAGGTATAATATTATCACTTTAAATATTTTAATATTTTTGTTAATTTGTTAATATTGATATTTATTGTTCTCTTTTTTTATAGTGCGACAAACTTAAAGAATTAGTTGCAAAACTGCGAGAGACGTTGGCTAAAAAAGATGATGTGGATCCTGAAGAAATAAAGAAGCAAACGACCGAACTCCAACAAGCGAGTTTGAAATTGTTTGAAATGGCGTACAAAAAGGTACTTAATTTATGTAAATATTTAATGAGCATACAAATTGTGCTCTTCATAACTCAAGGACAACTATTTAAATATGTGTTGATTTTACAGATGGCAGCGGAAAGAGAAAGTCAAAATCAATCACAACAGGAACAACCTGAAGGCGAGAAGAAGGAGGAGAAAAATTAATTTTAATTAGATAATTTTTGCGTTTTGTAAAAAAAGGAAAACAGATTCCATTCAAACATTTATATAAGCGTCTATTGCTGTTCTGTAAGCTCAAAGGAACCATTTATTCTTGTTGAAGAAAGCAAATATAAGTTAAAAATTTCGATATTCTGCGCGATAGTAATCGATTAAAAATAAAGTATTATTATGGGGAGACAGAAAGAAAAATAGCAATTTTCTTTATTATATTTAACAGTTCTGACATATAATAGCACTCTTGTGGTATTTATGTGATTATATATATTTTTTATTAGTAGCAGTCTTTTATCCTGAATATACAAAATTATCTTTTTATTTCTCAGGAGATTTCAAAAGTAATAGTTACCGCATGTTCTGTTAAGTCTACTAAAAAGAAATAATTGTGTATATCATGCATCTGTAGTAATAATGGCCATTTTTTTGAAAAATTTGGCCAGTTTTCATAAAGTAATAAATTATGTACATAGTTGATTACTTGTATAATGTAACTAACGCAAAATGATAATTTTTGTGCAGCCTACGAAACGTGTGCAGAATGTCAAGATATTCATCGTTATAACAATTATTGTAAAATGACTTTTACCAAAAATAATATGGAAATAATTTGTTAACGAGCTTGCTACTGTAGAATGCTTCGTAGCACATTCAACGAATGAAGTGTGAGATGAGAACATAAGAAGATCGAGAGAGAATGAGATGAGTGTTCTTGTGTAAAACAAGTTTACTTTGTAAACAATACACAATACAATAGATTACCGTAGAGAACATTGTTATATCACCATATACTTAATTTTTTTTTATTTGAATAGCTTAAACACACAAGAGCATCAAGTTATATAGTTTCGTTCTGTTATTCAATAAATCTTTTGAATTTTAATTCTTTTACTGGAGTTTCAAAAAAACAATTATTAATTTTTCCCTAATTCATTCTAATGTATTTCACATTCCTGAATTTTTCTAGATAGTCTCCTACTGGAGTGCAGAATTTGAAAATCAATAGAAGAGGTATACGGTTCACTCTTGATATGTTACCCTCTCAACATATACGTATTTATGCATTGTCACGAGTCTCACGACTAATAATAAAAATTTGTTCTTAGCAATTGCACTTACTGTACTTTTTTATTTTTTCTCTTTTTCTCTTCCAATACTCGACTTAAAGGTCGAGCTAATCTCACTTTGAACGTAAAAAGTGTAACTCAGTGCCGCTGTTCGACGATTCTGTCGGTACGATATAGTTTTACTCGAAGAGTTAAATATTACAAATTTTAGGAGGGATTAAATATTAAGATAACAGTCGAAAGATTATATTTAATTATACGTAAGTACATTTTTTTTATCGACAATCACGATGTATGAACATCTATATAAATTCACGGCTCGAAAGTGTGTTTAGCTTCAAATACAAAGACACGTAATATACGCCGACTATACCATTGCAATAAACGCAGCGGGTAACAAGTAGGTTTTTTGAGGTTTTTAACGTTGTTAGAACATGTTTTTTTTTTTTTTAGAGCTAACCGGAGGGCGAAAGTGAATTTAGGTTAGGATTCGTTAGAGAAAACTTTCGCAGTCTTGTTTCCGTTCTGCGATAACAGAAAACTTGTATTAAAGTAGAAAAACATGACAGACAGTTCGGACGACGAATTAAATTGTGGCGACGATAACGAGAAAACGTCGTGGATTTTGTACAAAGATCGCGATGAGTGGAGTGACGTGACTCCTTTACCCCAGGACGACGGTCCTCATCCTGTTGTATCCATTGCATACTCCGAAAAGTGTGAGTATATATAATTTTAAAAAATTACTTATTTTGTTTGCGTTCAAGTAACATTTTTAAAATTTCAAATTTCAATTTTTTTTTAAGCTATGCTTTACGAAGCATCACAGTGTTTTTTTCTCTACCATTACATGAACTCCAATTATTCCATAAAGAGATTTCGCTCCAATAAATTATATACACTCTCATATCGATAATAATTTTCAGTTAAGGACGCCTACGATTATTTCCGTGCCATTCTAAAGTCGGGTGAAAAGTCTGAACGTGCGTTAGCTTTAACGGAAGCCTGTATATGGCTTAATCCGGCCAACTATACTGTATGGCAATACAGAAGGGAGATACTTAAAGCTCTGGCGAAAGACTTACATGAGGAGCTACAATATACAGATCGGATGATAAAATACAATTCTAAAAATTATCAAGTTTGGCATCACAGAAAGATCATTGTCGAATGGCTGCAGGATCCTAGCGAGGAGTTGGCGTTCATAGAAACTGTTTTATGTAAAGACGCGAAGAATTATCATGCTTGGCAACATCGTCAGTGGTGCATGCAAACTTTTAAGTAAGTACATTTTTTATGTGCATAAAACATATAATAATAATCTTTTTATTATGACTGAGACGACAAGTGTCAAACTGCGTATGATTATGGTTGCAGTTTATACGATAAGGAATTGGAATACGTGGAGCAATTGTTAAATGATGATGTCCGCAACAATTCCGCTTGGAACCAACGCTATTTTGTAATAAGTAATACAACAAAGTTCGAGCAAGAAGTGATAGATAGGGAGGTAGATTATACGCTGGAGAAGATTGAGTTGGAAAAAGGAAATGAGAGTGCTTGGAACTACTTAAGGGGGTACTTATTCTCTCTTATTGATATATTCGAAGTTTAGAAGGAAAGTGATAGTTTTTAATTTCAATATTACTTTTTGTAAATTATGCTTTTAGAATACTGTCGCAACATGGCAAAGGCTTAGGTTACAATGAAAAAGTAAGACATAAATGTGAAGAAATGTATAAAGAAGGATACCGCACTAATCATTTGTTGGCCTGTATGATTGATATTTGCCAAGAGAGATGTCCATCTGATGAAATCCCGTCCCCTTTGTTTCATGTTAATTTTGCACACCAGGTAAGTCTATTTCTATAATATTATGCATTTTATACTATTACGTCATTTGTCATATCTAATATATGTACTTATGCTTTTAGCTCTGCAAGGATTTATCGAAAAAATATGATACAATAAGATGGCGGTATTGGGATTATGTGGCCAGCCAGCTAGCGATAAAATTGAAAACAGAGTCTACAGAATAAGCGATCTACAGCAATCCTAATAGTGTGAATTGTTCAAAAAATTTTAGATAATGTTTTATATGTCAATCTATGATTGGTATATTTTGGCCTCTTTTGCCTACACAAGTACGTATATTGCATATTAACTGCAAAATTTCTCAATTTGTACAATTTCTTTATATAAAAGAAAAAAAATTACAGCATTTATAATTTAAATATATATAACTAAAATTTGTTAATTGTATCAATTAAGTTCCGGAATTATATGAAGCAAAATGGTGAAACTATTAGACTATATAAAATTTATTATGCCAATATTGTTAATTTAAATAAAGTAATCTTTATTATCATGCATTTTTTATGTTTTTTTTTCTATATAATGATATATTTCTGGATTTCTAGGAACGCTGCTCTCTTCATTACTATGATAAATTTGATTAATTGAATTGATTTAATAGTGCATCATCACCAATGAATTAATAAAGTTCATTATTCTTATAAGATTTTGCATTGCTTGCGAAGTTCGCGCATTAATGCTTTCTTGGCATATCACGTTATCTTTACTTTAGTAAAGAATAAAAGATCGAAGCTGAGTATATAAGTAGATTGAACGCATGCCCCTAAGGCCTCGATATATAGTAAATAGAAAACAGCAGATATTAATATTGTATTATATGCAAATATATAATATATTATTTCACTCACCAGCCGAAGTATTGCAATCTGCGCCAGTCCGTTGCAAATTCCGCCTTAAAGATGCTCCGTTAGCTGCATGAGTTTTATCCAAGAAATATCACATGCACACACGTAATATTTAATTTTATGCACTATTGAACGAACTTCAAATATTATGAATTAATTAACATTCATGCACTTCACATTCGAATCGAATTTATATTACAAATTTTTGCCACATTATGTGAAACATGAAACACGACACAGAATGTACTTTGATCCACGACGCGCACATAATTATGACCGATTATTGTCCTTTATACTCAATAGCGAATTTTTCATTAGATGTAGGCCTTGATATTATTCCAATATTTATCCAAATCAAATCGTGCCTAGGAATCTCGAGAAGTTCTAAAATACGTCACTGATTTTTATTTGAGCATATCTATATAATTATTACGTCCTATATAATATTAATCTAATAATACCTATCTAAATTTATATAATCTAATATTGATATAATAATTGATATATTTCTATACAATAATTAATGTATTGATTCCACTTTCAGAAACAATGATGAATTGGATATTTCCTAAATTTTCTTTTCCTAAAATTAAATTTAAATACTTATCATTAAACAATCAAAACAGAAAAGATTCGCGCGAAATCCATAGAAAAAATGGCGGGACCAATCAGCAAGCATTACTGGTTGCGTCGCTCTGATTGTTTAGAACTCTACCCTAGATTAGATAATAACAAAACTAGTCTTTAAGTAAGTTCTGCTGTTCGCTTTTGTCTGTATGTTTAGAAATTGATTACGTTTGTGCGAAAAGTGACAAGCGACTACGTACGCGGAAAGTTTCTATTGGATTATTTGTCTTTCTGTTATATCATACTTTAATATACATGCCATCTGCTGAAATGAAGTTTTTTATTTTGGCGTTGTGGATTTCATCTTTAATCAGCGTACATTGTCAAGTTGTAACCCTAAATGGCGCATGGAGAGGGACCATTAATATCTGTGGTAAATATTATTGAATATTTTTATTTTTTTCAGTAAATTAAGGAGAAAGCTGTATTAGCTATAAGAAATGTATACATATATGTATAATATATGTGTATATGTGTATGCATATATAAAAGAAAAATCTGTTTACAATTAGATGGGAACATTAGATTGCCCACATTATATGCATACACACACACACACACGTATATATGTCGAAGTCGGAA